GCATTCCTTGTCGGAACCGGATGGCACCAGTGGTGGTGAGACCCTGGCATAAGAAAGTTTTAACCACGAGTCTCTTCAAGGCTAAAAATAACCAACTCTTTTCTTGCTGGTGAATTAATAGCCAGGTTATTTTTAATGCTTGAGAGGCTCAAATGACTGGTTGGCCTATTGAACACTGGAACAGGCTCAAGGTTATAAATTCACCTCTGACTTTTAGACTCAAGTAAACCATTCTCACTGGCAAAGAACAAAGCACTGTTTTAGGTTGTGAGTACTATGGGTGCATCTTGTTTTACCAGAGTTCCATGTTTGTGATTATGACCCAAGATGTGCACTCTGAAAATAGAAACCATGAGCCAGGCTTTATGACAGCTCAGAAGCTTGTGATGCACAAGTCAGGCATCTTCCCACCAACTGGAACGTCAGAGTACTGTTTTGTGGAACTCTGAAGTTCTTAGTTGGTTTTGTTTACATGATAGTTCCACATAGGACAGAAATATAGATCCACTAATTAAAATGAGGTTGCATCTGTTAAGACAGTCTCTTCTGCGCATAATGTCATGATGTGCTAGTCTGAACAGTTGGCTTCACCCTAATTTCTGGTGAAATCCCTTTTTTCCTTTAAAGTCTGTTTATTTATTAAACCAAAAATGTTAAATGAGAGATATGAAAGCCTTAGTACCACATTCTTAAAAGGAAGACTCCATTTCAGTAAATGCATTATTGGCCCGCCCTTTGGGGCACCTTGGGACAGGTCCACTAAAACAGTGGGCAGACATGTACACACATGGTGAGAGTGACCTGGTCCAGTCACTGAAAAATGTAAACTCCCTTCTTTTATTTTTGATTGCAGGTGGAAGTTAAGCCATATGTCTTGGATGATCAGCTGTGTGATGAATGTCAGGGGGCCCGTTGTGGGGGAAAGTTTGCTCCATTTTTCTGTGCTAATGTTACCTGTCTGCAGTATTACTGTGAATATTGCTGGGCTGCTATCCATTCTCGTGCTGGCAGGGAATTCCACAAGCCCCTGGTGAAGGAAGGTGGCGACCGCCCTCGGCATATTTCATTCCGCTGGAACTAAAGGATAACTACAGTGCTCATTTTCAGGCCTCAGAATAAGTGCACTCTTCTGTTAATTCTGACCCCTTCCTCGATCTCTTCACGCTGGCATGTCCTTTTGTAGCAGTCTGTAACTTAACAATAGTATAATGAAAAGAATGACCTATAATATAGGTGTTTTATAGATTCTTGTGTCACTGCAAACAATATGTATGAACTCCTTTTTCGTATTGCCATCATGTTGCGTGGAAGTTTTCTCCTCTTGTTTTGCTGGAGACCAAGAGGATTCAAACTTCCTGCAACATTTTCTTAGAGGAGAGAGAGAAATATTAAAAGAGAAATGAAACAATAGAGTATTTTGGTTTTTTAATTAAATTATTGTTAATAATATAACATATAAGAATACTTTTATTAAAATAACCATGCAACAATAACACTATCGGTCTATCCTGACACAGTTTTTCCCCCAGGGAAGTGCTTATGCCTTTCTCTTTGTTTTCTTCCATCTTTTTTGTCTCTCTCTTTTTTCCATCCCCTTTTTATTCTTTTAACAGCAATGGAGGAAGTTAACAATTATTAACAGGAAAGAGCATGTTAAAGCAAACAAATGCATGAGCAAGATTGAACAGCATTATAATTAATTTTAAGGGTATTGAGGCTGAATATAATTCTATTATGCCTCAAAGTTACTACCACATCAGAAGAAAAGTAGCAAAGTAGGCAGAGCTAGGTTTATTTTCTTTTAAACAATGTTTAAAATTCAGAATGTAAAAATTGGATAAATTTACTACTGAGGGGAGTGCACTTATTTATTTAAATTACTTTATCTGGTCACAGCCCCAGGAAACCTACCAAAGCTAGAATTAATGACAACTGGTGGGAAAACTAGCATTTCTTCTCCTGAAGAACAAATGTATAAATTTTATTTTTGATGTTTTATATATAAACTCTATATCCTAATTTACTAACACTCATCAGGTGTCAGCCTTTGCTCTCCATTTTGACGTTAAAAGAAACCAACAACAACAGATCTAGAGATACCTCAAAGATATAATTTTGGATTTTGTGTTACAGTAAACTTGTAGCCAAAACTGGAAGACACAACCAATGTACAAATTGGCTGCTGATTGGCTTACTTTTCGATTTAAAGTTACTTTTGGGTATCCTGTAATTTAGTTGTAACATAGAAAATGAAAAAAAACAATTTTTTTAAAGTTAAGTAGTTACAGAGTGTCTTGCACTGTTGAGCTAAGTAACTGTGTAAATCTGTGCAAAGGTACGTATGTTTATCTTACTCTTCCTATAAAATAAAATAACATTGCAGTTTCAGAACTTAGCATGGGACATAGTCAGTGTTTGAAGTGCCAACTTCATCAAGTAATGCATGCTTTCTTATAAATAAAATTCTAGCTTGGAAAGGCGTTATTATGTGTTGAACAGTATGCTTCAGGGGTAAATTTAAAATAGTCTCTTGAAGCCCTAGTCATGGAAGTAAATTTTATTTTAATTGACCTTCTCTTATTAAATGCCCTATCGACCGTTAAAAGGATTATTATCAGTGTGCAAAATATTGAAAAAAAAAATCTTATGGCAATCTTGCTAGTTATGCTACCTAACAGTACCATCTTGGATCCTTCAAAACCAAAGACTTGCCCAGCACTGCTGTGGAACCACCTGGCTGATGACCCCTACTGATTCTCTTTAGGAAAAGCAGTCCTTTATTTTTAATACAGGCTTTAATGAACTACACCTGTTAAGTTCCAAAGGTCAAAATGGAGGCATTTGCTGTCTAATAGTCAAACAGAAAGGGAGCTGCTTTTAAAGAATTCCCTGCAAATGGAAAGCAGTCATGCGGATGGAAGGTGCTCTTGCGTAGCTGGTCAGGGACTTTTTTTTTCTTTTCTCCTGAACTACATAATTCTAATTGGAATGTTCATTTGCCTCTTTTTATTCTTTTCACGCTTGTAGGTGGCTTGGGGTGTGCTATTGTGCTGTTCCTACTCAGTAAACAGGTGTGATGAGTTAACAAGAAATAACACTGTTTGAGAACTAGCTTTGAATAATAATTTGTCCCTTTGTACATGACCTGCTGAATTTCGGTACAGTGTTTTTGTAGCTAACTTATTTTGTCATGCACATAATGTATATTTGTTATGCACTACTTTTGTATATCTTGTTTTTCCAACAGTGAACATTTTTAGGCACACTTTTCACTGACGGGATATCTCTTTATGCAATACCTCAATTTTTCATATTGCAAAGAGTAGCTTTTTGTACTTTTATTACTGAGAGATCTTCATATACTTCATTTTTTAATATAAATAATTTTAATAAATTTTATTTTCTTATATTCTGCTTTTTATACATTTCAGTGCTCTGCATACATTTTAAATTATGAATGTTGTGCACTGGCAATGCTATTTTAGAGTCTGCAGAGAAGAGAAAGCATGTTGCTTAAACATCCTCCCCCAGCACCAGCTATTGGTGTACCTAGAATTTAAGAAATAGTCTATGTAAAGTCACAAATTAATGAAAAAAATTCGCATGAAAATGACAGATAACACTGTAGTTCCTAAAAAAGAAAATTAAATACATAAGCATAGGGTAGAAATTTAAAATAACGAAATTGTCTACAGCTTCTTACTAAGTTTTTAAAATTATTCATAAATCGCAGACATTTTTGGTGAATGTTTAGCCATTTTTAATATTAATAAATTGATGTTAAGTGTTTGATTCAGAGATGTCTGCTCTTTTAAATTATATATAAGAAGAAAAAAATAGCCTGCCGTGGGACAGGTGTGTAATGTTAGAATGCATGACTAATGTAAGAAATTGTTATTCTACTAATACTTACTTGTGATTGTGTGACAAGCGTGTTTACAGATTATTTGGTTACACTTCAATTTACAGGGCATAAAACAATGATTATCTATTACTCTGAACTTTATTGATTACATGTCCTTCAGATTACATGGGATTGTAGTTGGGAGTTACCATGTAACTCAAACATAATTAACATGTAATTAGTTTACAGATTTTAGGGTATCACTTCAATTTACCAAGCATGTAGTTCTAGCGCACTAGCATGGCACCAGCCATGTACTTACAATGTAGTTACAGAGTAATTACATGGTTATTTTTGCAATGTAAAATAAAGTGTTTCTGATTATTTTCTATGTAAAGGACCCCTCTCCCTTCCCCTCTGGCCCCCCGCTTTGGTATAATATATATACTTCTCCATACACAGACCTCTGCAGAATGCAAAATAAAACTTGCAGTGAATGAGTTTAGCATTTTATGAGAGTGCTGTTGGAAAGACTTGATAATTCACCCCTTTTGTTTTGAAGAGTTGAATCTTCTGTTAAAAGGTGATTTAAAACTTGAATGTGATGAATTGTGGCAAGTTAACTTCAAGTTATGTGCAATACTTATTTCAAACTTTTGAAAGATCTTTGCAGTGTAATTTTTGTTTTTAATTGCAGACATTTAAAAATGTCATTTTCTACTGTTAAGAGTAATCCTCTTTCTTGCTGGTGTTTCTAAAGAAAAGAATCAGAAATCAATCTTTCTACTAATGTAAATTTGAGATTATTTTTAAAAATGGAATAAAAGAGGTTTTGGTCATTTGCTTTATTTTATTATCTTATTTTAAAGCTACTGTGATTGATAGCATTGTAAGAATTGGGACAATATTGTATTCAACTGTTTTATTTTTTATATTTTTAAAATTTAAAGTATAATTAGTTTTTATAATTTTCATCAGATTTTTGTTATATTTTTTGGAAGTGAAACTTTTAGCAAGTGGGTGTCTAGTTTTTACTAATCCCTAATTTTTTTTCCAGTGTATTGCTCATATTATCAGAAGGAAAAGTTATTTAAGTATGTCAGTTAATTGTACTACTTGGCTGAATTTCCATATAGTTTTTACTGTGTATGGGGAGGTTGTAGTATTTATTATAGCATTTTAAATAAGGGTAATTCATTTTTTATTAAAGTCATTTTCACGTTAAGTTCCTATTTTTGTATGTTCTACTCTTAAGTTATATAACACAGTTCCTTTTTTAAAAGAGTTCATTTGTTGAAGTGCTAGTGGAAAATTAATGTTATTAAATAGTTTGCAAATGACTATTTATACCAGTATGCATATAATTTTTAAATATTTGTAATGTGAGATGTTGAATGAATAAAACTTTTAACTCAGATTTCTTTTAATATACTTATTTGTTTCATCATAAGCAGATTATGCAGCCATGGTTGGGAAAATACAACATTTAAGAAATAATTAGGAATGCCCTAATGTACTTGGGGCAAGGCAGAGACATTCAGACCTATGTGTGAGTGCTCATGGCAAGTGTGGATCGCTTATGGAAGCTTAGAAATGCTGCCGGGGTGTAGCGTTTTAGGCCGGCCCTGTGAGTTCAGTGCTGCTCTGCAGAGTCCTTGTTATTCATAGCCTTCAATATATGCCTGGTGCATTGGCCCAGGATCTGAGCAGTCAGTAGCCTGTTGAAGGCCAAATGTCCAATAAAAATAAAAGGACAAGTATTTATTCAGGAATGAAAGTCAGTAGCTGGGAGGTTTGATTGTGGTTCTTTGTCAATGGAAAGCCTCTATTTCTGATCACTCTTGACTTTCAACTCCCAGTTCCTCACCAGACCCTCATAAGTCACAAGATACGGCCTCTGGGATAATGATCTTAAAAGTATTATCTTTGATATGGTCCATTCATCACGTGGACTTCTGAGTACTGTGATGTGTTAATGTTTTATTTTAAAGGGCATTTTCAAACGTTTAGGAATTTATTATAACAAGTATAATACCCCAAAATATCCTGTATTGCAAAATTTAGTTTTCTGAGTTCAGTATTCTCAAGACTGGAAGAAGCAGTTGTTGGCCTGAGTCAAGCTATGAGATCTTCTGCTTCTAAGTTGTCTTTCCCAGAATGCCTTCCTTCTGATGGTAGGGACTCTTTAGGGTAAGGGCTTCCTTAGGGGAGGCACCAGGTCACAGAAGCAGCTCTGGCTGGGCAGCTTTCCCTTTCTCCTGTGCAGAACTTACTTCAGAGCTCAGGGAAGAGCGCTGAGGGCCTGGGAACACCAGAGCTGTGGGTGGCACTTGGCTGCTGCCTCCATAATAGCTTTAGGCATACTGGGATGGTTTTCGCATTTTAAGGAATAAAAAAGACATAAGTATATTTAGTTGTTTTAATTTTAGGAACTATTTTAGGCAAAAGATCAACCGTAAGTGATATGACAACTATCTTGAACTAATAAGTAGGTGGAATATGTCTGGGTTTTTTAAATCATAGAATGGTGAGTGGAAAAGGCATGAAAAGCTTCCTGGGCTGCATTTCTTCACATGGGAGAAAGCACCCCTCCTGGAGCCCACAATCCCATCTCCATTTCTCCTTTAGGGATTTTGGCATGCATGCACACACATGTCCCCAGTGTGTTTTTCAAGCCACCAAGTCTGGGATTCGAACCGTGCAGTTGGCCATGTGGGATCCAGCCACCTTAATGACCATGCCACCTGCTGGCCTCTCACCATTATTAACAATTGAATTATTTTATAACCTTTTTGGGTAATGGGTTTGTGTCCACACCCAGTTCAGAAAGTAAATAAAATAATTTTTTAATTAAGTTTGAAAAATATGCAAAGTCTGATAAATAGTCATGGCAGGTGAACAGACAGAGGCTCAGCAGTAAAATGCAATGCTCTGTGAGGCAATCCCACACGGGAAGGATCCCAGGTCAGGTCCAGAGACCTGACTGGTATGCTAGGAACATGCTTGGCACGATCCGGGGCTGGCTGAGGATGGGGTGGATTGTGGCATCAAGACCACATTGCAGGTGTTCTCTCGTGGAAGAGGGAAAGTCATGGGGAAAGTAAATTTATTATTTTAAAAATTAAATATTTTAAAAGTGTCAGTGAAGTTTTTTTCCTGCAGTTTATAAAGAAAGAATAATACATAGGGAACTTTATTATTTATTTCCCATGTTGTGAGCTTCAGAGGACAATAGTCCTCACAAAAAGGGGCAAAAAATTAAAAATTGAGCTGGCACAGTGGCTTATGCCTGTAATCTTGTTTACTCGGGAGGCTGAGGCAGAATTGTGAGCTGGAGACCAGCCCTGTCAACATAGCAAGACTATATCTCAAAAACATGCAAAGAGGGCCAGCAGGTGGCCTGGTGGTTAAGTGCTAGATCCCACATGGTAGACTCTATGGTTCAAGTCCTGGACCCAGAGCTTGAAAAAATACGCTGGGCACATGTGCACATGTGCCCAAAGTCCCAAGAATGGAGGAGAAAGGATTGTGGGATGACCATTCCCTGGGGGGATTTTCTCATTTTCCCTCATTTTTTGTCTCTGTGTGAGCACACTTGCCTTATGGCAAAAAACAAAAAAACAAACAAAAAAACCCAAAAAACAATTCCAGATGATTCTGGACCAGCCCCATAGCCTACTGGTTAAGGAAGCTGAATCCCACATGGCTTACATCAATTCTAATCCCAGCCCCTGTGGTGGCTTAAGAAATATGTAAGGCATGTGCATGTGCATGTCCAAAATCACAAAGGAAAGGGGAAATGAAAGGGTTGTAGTGTGGCCACCCTACTTTGGGGTGCTTTCTCCCTTTGTCTCTGTTGACCATACATACCTTCTGGCAATTAGATTAATGATGATAAAAGTTTAGACCTGACAGGTGGCATGGTGGTTAAGAGCGTTGGACTCCCACATGGCCAACCACAGTTCAAGTCCTGGACCTGATGGCTTGCTTTCTCCCTTTCTCTCCCCACCCCCACCCCCGCTTCTGATCAAATTAAAAACAAAGTTAAAATAATAACAATTTTTTTTAAAGTTCAATCATTAAACAGGCTTAGAAAATGGGGCATTGTGTTTCCTGGAAAATCAAAAGAATTCAAATTAGCTTATTAAGGCTTTGGGAAGTAATTCAATGAAGAAACCTATCTATTTTGTTGAAAGTGGTCTCCCTGAACATTTCTTTGATTATAGACTCTGCTTATAGGTAATAAGGATTTCATGGACACTTTGAGTGTTCTGCTTTAAGTTCTGGCATATTCACTTGCATCAGGAAGCCTTAGAAATGCCACTTTGTCGGATCCAGCTGTTAGCTTAATGGCTATGTCGCTGGACTCCCACGTAGTCGACTGCGGTTCGAGTCCCAGACCTGGCAGCTTAAACTCACGCTGGGTGTGTGTGCGTGCGTGCCCAAGATCCCAAGAGGAGAATGGAGGAGAAGGGGTTGTGGTGTGGCCGTCCCTCCTGGGGGGTGATTTCTCACTTTCTATCTCTCTGTCTCTGTCTTTCTGGCAAGCACATGCGCCCTATAGCGAAAACCTCTCCAAAAAAAAAAAAAAGAAAGAAAGAAAGAAAGAAATGCTACTTGTCTTCCATACATGCATTTCATAAGAGCACCTGGCTCTGGCCCTTCTCAGTCCTATCCAGAGCCGTTTCCATCGTCTACACTTGATTGGAGTTCCTGGTACTTGTTTAGCTTTTAACCCTTCCCCATTTCCAATTTATCTCCTTCATTCTCTCCTCCCTCAACTCCCACCCTGGAAGAAAGAAAGAGGCATTCCTCTGCACGACGGACTGTCTTCTTGCAAAGCTAGTTTGTGCTCCGACCAGCCCTTATTTCTCTAGAGAGCCACAAACAGTCTTCACACAGCAACCTGTGCTATGAATCTGCCTTCTCATGATATGCTGTCTACCTTTCTGAAATTCATATCATTTTCTTCGAAATTTTCCTTTCTAAATCCTCTCAGTACCCCCTTGTCCCCATGCACTAGGACAGCTGGCTTGGAATAACTCAAGGAATTCAGAAATGAACATTTGTGCCCACTATCAATTCTTATCTAGCAGTACCAATTTGGTCTCTCTTATTAGGGAACATTGTGTTTTGGCACACCTTAGTCTTAGGGTGTTTTAAGTTTCAATCTTTCTCTAGTCAAACTGGGTGTCATTGTTAGCTTTCTGGAAAAAGTGTCTCTATGATTCAGCACGGTGACCAGAGTTGGAAAAGTACAGTTTGTCTCGGAAGTTAAAAATGAACAGCAGCGCAAATCCAGAGAGCGCGCAAACCAACCGTGTTTTTTTATCGCTTGTAATCTCATTAAGCGTCCTGAAAAACTGCTGTGGGCAGATGAGGGGTGGAGGTGGAGGTGGTGAATCAGTGAATACAAATGCCAAAAGCCAAGCTTGAGCTTTCTTGATCCTTTTCATTGGAGTGCTATTTTAGGAGTAGAGCTTTGATACCAAAAAATGTCAGTGTGATCAAGCAAACGTCACCAATTGAAGGAGATTATTTTCAACTCTTCTTCCACCCCCCTGCAACACCAAAGGAGGGAAGCAGAAAACCTAACATACCTGGAATGACTCTCCAGAACCCACTAACCACTATAGGGCATTTAAAACGTACTCTGAAACAAGTTATGCAGGAAGAGAACTGGCAGGGGTGGTGGCGTTAATATCCACCTATGAAGCTACAAAAAGTGGCATCCAGTAATGACCGAAACCCCCGTACCTGAAGAGTGAAGGCATAATTCACCTCCCATGCTTGAGGGAAAAGTGATACAGCACTTGTGTGTTTAACTGTGCTTGAAGATTGCATTCCAGTGACATGCTAGGGGGTGTGGGGTGGTGGGATGGACACGCATGAGGGACTGCAGTGACTACACATCGGATTCTGGGGCTGGTAGTGGTGTCACCTGTTGCATGTTGGGCACTTACGTGTACCAGGAGTAAGGCTAACACCCCAAGAGAAGCTGTCCGTGGTGACTACACATGGGATTCTGGGGCTGGTAGTGGTGTCACCTGTTGCATGTCAGACACATATACAGGAGTGAGGCTAGCACCTTGAGGGATGCTGTGCAGAAGACAACACGTCTTGGAGAAGATATGGCCCTTGGCCAAGGCTACATAGTTAGGACCTGGTGAGAGCTAGACTCCAGTCCTCCTGTAAACCCCTCTGCCACTGGATTAGCAATAGACAGGATCAGGATTTTACAAAGGTTTTGTTTTTAAAATAAAGTGCTGGGGCCAGAAGGTGGCATAGTGGTTAAGGGGCTAGACTCCCACATGGTTGGCCGCAATTTGAATCCCAGATCCGGTGGCTTGCTTTTTCACTTTCTCTCTCTCTTTCTCTCTCTCTCTCTCTTTCTGTATCCTCTGGTGAGTATACATG